TGTGTGTGTGTGTGTGTGTGTGTGTGTGTGTGTGTGTGTCGGAGTATTTGAACATGCTGGTGAACTGCACCCCTAAGAGTAAACTACTTACACCACCAACTATTTACTAACAGCTGGACTTAAAGCTCATTGTTGTTTATAATTTTATTGTCAAAGGGAAATGTACAATTTCTGTCCAAAATCTACTGCCAGCCATGCACAAAAGCGTAAGTGCTCTACACGAAAACTCTGGATGCTATACAAAATACAAATGAACACATTTAAAGCTTTGCCCAATTTTTATGTAATATCTTTTATCGTTCTGTTTTTCAATTCGTTTGAAACATAATATGCATCTTAATACATTTTTCATTGAGGAAATCCTCTGTTCATTTGATGTGCAACATCATAATATTATTATAGCCAATTCCTCGAATCTTGACTCACCCTAATACAAGCGTTTAGCCCAAACACACTTTTAAGTTTCTCTGAATTCACACAATTTTGCCATGAACGATTTTTTAAAGATTAATTTTGAATAGTCATATCTTGGGTGGGCTACTCTTTAAATCATAGATGTAACATTGATTAGTCAGATAGATAGTGCGTGTTCTGGTGTGGTTTACTTCTTCTTTCCTATCAAACACCTATCGTCTTTATCTCTTCTCCTTCTTTTTTGTGTTTTTTTACTCTCTTTTAACACCTCTAATCTTCGACACTTATATGAACTTATTGAGTAGCAAGTGCCGTAAAATAAAACACTTACCAAAAATAAAACAGATGGTGCAGAACATGTTGCTTTCAGTTGGCATGCTGCATGTGTGGGTAGTGCAAGGTTTTAACCCGAAATTGTGTGAAGAATACATCTTCAATTTTCTGTGGGACGCCAAAAGATGCAAAAGAAACAAAAATGCAGCATCTGCATACCATTACAATCCATCCTTTTTGTTAGTTTGATCAAAGAAATCGATTAAACACAAAAAAATCTAACTTCTTACTATACCCACTCTGATACAAGTTCCAACATTTCTCATTTATATCAGCGTTTTAAAGGTATGGGGTAGACTAGTGCTTTGGTGTGGTTTGCTCAGTTTTTCTTATCCAACATCAGAATCTATAATATAATAGTCCATATCTCTCCTTTTCTCTCCTTTGCATGATACTCAGTAACACCTCGAATCTTCATCACGTAGTTGACCTATTTGTGTTGCTAGTACTGTAAAACTCTTACTAAAACTAAAACTATAGAATTCAAAAACAAACACTGGTTGCGGGTAGTTGGCGGGTGCTCTGGAATGGTTTACTCCTTCGTTCCTATCAAACATCTATCGTCCTGACCTATCCAGCTTCTTTTTTATGTTTGCAACTCTTTTATAACACTTCTAAACTTCGGCACTTATATGACCTCATTGTGTTGCGAGTGCCGTAAAACTCTTACTAAAACAAACAAAACAGTTGCCTTTTTTTGTTCTGCTTTTTGTTTTGTTTTGCTTTGTTTTCCCTGTGGGTGCTATGCAGGTCAGCGAGCAGACATCAGTGATGAGGTTGTAGGGAGGAAGGTTTCCCCAATAGGCTGTGCTCTAATCCTCTGTTTGTTCTCTCTGCCATACATCTCCGGGGGTGAGCAAACATGAATCATCTGACGTGCACATAAAACATAACTGACTGTCTCTCTCTCTCTCTCTCTCTTTCTCTCTCTCTCTCTCTCTCTCTCTCTCTCTCTCTCTCTCTCTACAT